CGTAGCACTGCTTATTGCTGCCATCAGGTCTTATGCTCAAGGAGTGTGACACAGCCCTAAAATCCCCTTATGCCTCAAAGTGAGGAAGTCACAAGCTGCATCTGAGAAAAGGTGTGCTCGTTATTTTGTGTATTTCAAATAATGTCTAATGTAATTTTGAGATTGATTCCACTTCTGCTTTAAAGGAATCATTAAACTGAATTAAAGGTATATTAAAAAACAAAAACCACACAGAGGAAAAAACTCAAGGAAGTGGTGACTGAGTAAACAAACCTTTTGCTTTTGCCCCAGTGGAAAATAGGAAAAAACAAGCAAAACTGCAAGTTCTCATTGCTTTTCCGCTCTGCCCTGCAGCAGGCCGCCTGCCTCCCCGGAGGCCTGCCAGTGGTAACAGGGCGCCGCGCATGGCAGCCGCGAGCTGGGCACCATGTCAGAGCCTGGCGGCCTGGAGCAAAGCATGCTCTGCAGCCCCACGGCCTGTCTGCCGGTGACCCACTGACACAGGGGAGATGGGGACACTCAGGGGCAGTGTGGCTGCCTTCTTCTGCCCCGCTTTGGAGGCAGATTTCTGCCCTTCGGTTTACATCCGTGCTGTAGCCAGCAGATGCTGTGTGTTGGTGGGATGGGTTGGTGTGCTTTCTGGGTTCTGTTTTGCTGAGGATTAGAGGGGGCCAAGCCTAGGCAAAGTTGACAGTTGTCATTCTGAAGCCACCATCCCTCTGACACCCTCATCACTTCTGCCCCTCCACATCTTTTCCTCCCACCTCTGATCCCCTTCCTTGCCCTGTTGCTGCCCAGGAAGGGAGCATGACATCCTTGGCAGGGCAAGGTGATCTTGGTTTACATTTCTGCGATGCTGTGAGCTTAGTCTCTCTTTTTCTCCCAGAAAGCACCTAGTGTGTATTGCTTACTTGAGCAACACTTTATGCCTCTCCTTCATACAGAGCTAGCAGATGTTTTAGCAGAAGACAGCATCAGATGCTCATCAGCCATACACACACCCAAGTTTCTAAAAACTCCTGAGCTGATCAAGGGCTACACTAACTGATGAGGACAGCATTTAATATTTAAACATGTCTAGAAGTTCGTGTGTTTTCCGTGTGGCAGAAGTTCTCTTGCTGACCAGTGAGCTATGTAGGAAGCGCAGCACATTGTGTTCTTCACTTCTGACCCAGTTGCAGCCCGGGATACATGAGAGCTGGGGTTGCCCACACACTGTTTCACCGCGGTTGTACAGGAATTCCAAGCTTGAACATACTGCAGCTTAAGGAGGATAATGCTAGAACTCAGGAATAATTCATGAAAAGAGGAAAAAACCCTGAAGTGCACCTGCCTAATGTGTTTCCATAATAGGATTGTACAGCACACTTAGTTGTCTGTCTTGGCAGTATTTCTGTCTTCTAGGTATTTCTGTGTGCATGTTTTGTTTGCTCTCTTTATTTTTGTTTGGGTATGTAGAGCTCAAGTTGCATTTTGTGTATGACAACTGCAGGTTTTACTCTGGGTTGTCCTTTGGATTAGAGTTCCTCGCTATTGCTTGAACCCAGCCGAGGCTGAGCACTGAGGCTAGCAGCAAGGTCCCCAGGGGCTGAGGAGGCATTGGGGGCCCCAGGTAGATCTATTGGTGAAGGGGTGACTTGGTGGGACCAGGGCACGGTGAGATGGCAGGGGGAAGGGTGGTGGTGCTTGAGCTGGGCTCGCTGTGGTGGTGCAGCTGGGCCTTTGGAGGCCTGAAGATGGGCTGCATCGCCTCCTTGTTGGCCTTCTTCCAGTCCCCTTTCACTGCTTCTCTCATGCTTTAATCATAAAGCTATGTGCTGTGCTTTGGCTGTGTCCTGCATATATGCCAACCTTTTCCATTCCTCCACCTCTGCAAAAACACCAAGAACCAAGGCCTTGGTCTTAAAAGCAAAACACTGAAACAGTGCAGTACGTTGGACCTCAGTTGGCAGTGGTGGCAGGGGCCGCAGGAGCCCTGAGGGGCCGTGGCCACCCCACAGGGAGCAAGGACAGCCCGGGGCTGGGGCAGTGGAGGAGGCCAGGCAGGGAGGGGAGAGGGAGTTTTTGAGGCTTTAGGGCATGCCTGATGACCTCTGCAGCTTTGGTTTTCCCCTTGGAAGCCTAGAAATAGCACCTTCAAAACGAACAAGCAACAACAGCAAAACAAAGAGAAGCTGAAAGCTGAGGTTTCCGTGTGATGGTGGGACATCGGAGAGCTGGCTGTAGGAAAAATTCCTGTTATTGCAGGAGACATGATCAAATCGCCAGGGCTGGCAGCCCTGCTGTGCTGCCTCTCCCTCCTGCTCTCGGCCTCCACAGCCCGTGCTGCGTGTGCTGCTTGTCTCTTTCGCTGTATTGATTTTTACAGTGTAATCTACTCTGAGCAAGGGTTTTGTCTATTATGCGTTTGTAATGCACCACACATGCATTACTATAGAAATAATCTAATACAAAGTGCCTGGGATTTCAAACATCCAGTGTTTCATAGCCAAAACATTTGGCCAAGAAATAAACCTCCTGTTTTTGTGCTCCCTCTGCTGGATCCATACGCGCAGGAATTGCTGGCTGTGCCTGGAGCTGCGGGCTCCCCTCTGTTCCCCAGCTCTCATCCCGGCAGCTTCACCATCCTGTGCTGTTTGGTGGATGCTTTCATGAAGCTCTTGGCTCTTCCCCGAGCCCTCTCAGTCAGCTGTATTACAGGATGCGAACTGGGGATCGATGAGAAATTGAGGCAGTGCACTGCACCACAGCGAGGCTGTGGCTTGACACCAGGCAAGGTTGTTGATGCTGGTTTTACGGTGTTTCCAGTTGTCTCCTCTTCCCATACCCATCTATTCTCATTTTCAAGGCATAGCCCCCTACCCCCAAACTGTGCCAGTGTGACTGGCTTGAGGATCTTCCTAGAAATAGTCTGAGAGAACTGATCAGGCATTCAAAAAAGCTGTGTGTTTTTTTTTTTTTTCCATAGGCTGAATGCAGTTGAGAGCAAACCCCTGCCCAGCATGCTGGCAGGGTTGGGGGCTGGCACGAGGGCCCAGGAACAGGCAGGGGTGATGGTCTGGCCTCTGAGCAGGTTGCGGGGTGAAAGCATGGAGCAGATGCTGGTGGGGCCATGCCAGGGAAGCTTAGACCTGATTTGCAAAAGGAGTGGGTGGTCTGTGATGTGAATTCACCGAAATGTTAATGGGATAGCCCTTTTCAGAGGTGCTTTATAAAACAAAACAGGAATTGTGGTGCCAGTTCTGCAGATGGAGGAACTAAAGCACAAAAGAGTGGAGCGAAGCGTTGGCTTCCCATTTCACAGCAGTGCAGTTTAAGCTGGTTTAAGCAGCCTCTGATCTACCCTCTGCCATCACGGCTGAGCACTCCTGCCCTCGTGCCCGCTCCCTGCGCTGAGTTGGCACAGCTGTTTATGAGACAGCATGCTGAAGGAAATGAGCTCCCTGATCCAGCTAACCGTGCAGCTGCACAACTGCAGGCTTGGAAGCGAGCGTCCAGGAGGGAGAAGTGAGAGGCAGAGTTGAAGCTGCCAAGCAAACGCCGCAGCCCGACTTGCCGAGGTCCCGTCCCGTCGTGCCGGCAGAGCCTGGGATGGTACCCAGCTCCTGGGGTGGGTGGAACAAAAGTTGATCCTTTGGCGGGAGGAACGAAGTTAGATAAATAATTAATTCAGACTTAATTAAAGACCTAGTCTGCGTTAGTTGAGAAAGTCATGTTAACACGTACTAAATCTGAATCAATTAGCATGTTTCCCCTGGCTTGTATAAGCAGAACAAAAGCACTGGGGAAAACTTCTGGATGAGAATAAATATGTTCTGGGGGAAAACAGTCACAGTTCAATGAGGCCTTAAAAGCCAATCATTCACCCAGGGTGCCTGTCAATGTGTAACTTTTCTAGAATTGCCATTTGTTGCGGGCCGAGAACAGCAGAGTTCCCATCTGAAGCAGATTGTCCCTTGGTGGCACTATACATACCAGTGATGGGATGACTGTTTCTAGCATATGTTTTTCAGACATGTTTTTATTCATTGTGAATTGTCAGTGAGGAGGGTAAATAAGATTGCGTAACAAATGTTGCTGCAAGTAACAAGTTCTGTGAAAAACTCGAAGTTTTTCTGCTTTGTTGTTGGTCACCTGTGACTTTTGCATCACACGAGGTTATCCAAGTGCCTGCTTCCATTGCTGGTCATTGTGGAGGTTCTGCAGTGGCCATGAGTTGCACGTTATTTTTTTCCACCAGACTTGTTTTTTCCTGTTCAGTGAAAAATTCTCTTGCGTGGAAGTTACTTGGAATTTAGTCAAAAGAGAAGGAAAATGTACTCATCGTGTTCCTTTCTTCAGTATGTGCTGAGTTCTAGAGCCTGGCAGCGTCAGCCTGTAAGGACACCTTGTCTGATTGCTGAAACAGCATGTAACAAAATACACAGTGCCCGTAAACATTCTGCAGTCTCCCTTTACAGTATTTCTTTATAATTAAAAAGCATTTCCTAGAAGTTGCGGTGCTGTGCCAATGTAATTCATAAGCTTGCTTTGTTTTGCTACAGTCAGGATGGTGTTTTTGAGGTATTTTGGTGTATCCATTTAAGCAGAGTTAGGGGGGTTGTTTATTTTTTTAATGGCACTTAGCCTGTAGCAGTCGGTGAGTGCCTGTATAAAGAGAACGGAAGAGACTTCAAGATGACTTTTAACTGGAGGGAAAAAAAAAAAAAGACCATTTACTGTTGGTAAACTTTGGTTTAAGCCTCAACAGAATCCTGCTATCTTTTCCTCATCTCTTTTTTATGGACAAGAAAACCTGTAAGGCTTAAACTGCTGAAGTGATTCTCCAGAGTTGGGGGTAGCTGGAATTGTGGACCAAGTCTCAGATCTGGTGCTCCAGACTTGTTCCTGGGACTCCTAAATGTCCTTCATTTATCTCAGATCTGCGCAGCGAGCTTTTTCAAATGCTACCGTGTCACTCAGGAGAACGGAAGTATGATGTGCCTGTGCTTTTATTGCAGGAAACTGGATCTTGTTATGTGAGGGCATTGAGGAAACGTGCCCCAGCTACTGAGAGGAAGAAAGGCCGGTGGGGAATACTCAGGTAAGAAGGCTTTACGGACCAGCCGGCAGTAAGAAATACTTGGGGGCCTTCAGTCTTTTTCCAGACGCTGCTTCATGCTTTATGCTTTAACGACTGATCTGGTCACTATCAAAGTTTATTTGTTGTTTTAAGAAGCAGTCCTGTTTGGTCAATTGATTGCAACAACAAAACACTGCAAGCAAAGCCCTCAGCATAAACATTCCTCGGGCTATCCCTGGTACAGCTATTGATCGTGATACGGAATACAAACAAATTACTCTTTGCATGAGCCATTTGAGCTATAAAACACAGCAATAATATGTTCTACTTGCTGCCAATAAATGTGCATTTATAATAAACAAAGGAGAAATCCCTGAGTAGAAATGAACAGTAGTTTCAATAATGTGTTCAATATCTCATGTCCAGCTGTTGTACAGAATGAAAAAGCAGATAGTAGATGCTCTGCATTTTTTGTCCTCCCCCCTGTCTTTTGCTAACTTGTTCTACTGCTGTTTTTTTTGTTGAAGATATCTTAAGTATTTTGTAAAGCAATAGGTAGTTTCATCTTTGCCTTACTTCCAGTGCTGTTTAGAGCTTTTCAAATATTTGGTCAACATCTTAATTGTTTTGTGGACCAGCTGCCTTTCCTTACACTATCATGTGGCTCATCTCCTCTTTTACTCTTAATCACATCCCCGTGGCATTTCCTTGTATTGGCAAATATCATTAAAGAAACTTTCATGTATTTGTAGTTGTTTTGAATGCAGCTGAAATGGGAGGGAGGAGTCGGTACCCTTGTGACCATCACCACCAGGGGTGCCTGGATGATAACTGAATCCGTTTCCAAAAGGATAAAGCTAATGATCATCAGAGCATAGATTTTTTTTTTTTAATCTGCTGTACCATGCTCGTATAATCCTCCTCCCCTTCATCCATATTTTCAGTGCTGCACTTTGATGAGCTACAGACAGTTGACCCGAAGGCATTTCTTGATGAACATCTCTGTCTGCTCTCAGCCTTGAAAAACTCAACCTTTTCAACAGCTGCATGGGAGAAAAATGTGTAAGACTAATATTTATAGGCTGAAAGAGAGGGGAGAGGAAAGAATCAAGTGTAAAACTTGCTTCCAGCAGAAATGCCATCCCTCTTTTACCTCTGATAATTAGAAGCGTTTCTGACATGGCTACTAAAGCGAGTTAGTGGTGTGTGCCTGCCATTTGCTGTGCTTTTATACTGCAGAACTGTTTTCCTTTTTGTATGGCATTGCTTTGTTCTATTTTGTTTTAAGACAAAACAAATATTTCAACTGATACCCAACTATTACATTATGATTCATCCATACTCCTACATGTTAAATGATTAGTTCCAAGTACTTACATGATTGTTTGCAAAATGGAAGGTTGTTATTCAAGCTCACATTTTAAGTACTTTTTTGTAACATTTAGCAAAGCTCATATGCATAAATCCTTTCATTAATAGCTCTAACTAAAATCGTACTGGAAGATTAGAAGAAGGAGGGTTTTTAACTGTGCCGTATTTTGCACTGGGAAAAGATCTTGAAAATATTGAGAAATACAATAGTACTGATTATAACTGTAACAGGAGATTTGGAGGACATGGCAAATGTTTTTAGTAGTGCCTTAAAGAGTATGTTGTGTTTTATGCCTAGTGAATATAGGCTTAAGTCTTTGGTCTTTTATTATAAAAATAACATGTGCAGTCGTAGAAATGCAAAAAATATTTTTAAAAAGAGAGAAAACACCCTGTTTTAAAACTGGGTATTTGAAAATGTACTGAATCTGCTAAAGGTTTCCCTAGACTTGGATCCTGGTTTAAAAAAGTAAAACTAAAACTCACTTCTCTGTTCCATGAAGAAACTCGGGAAGTAAGTTCCTTGCTGTGCCTTGGGGTCACATGGCCTCACTGCTGTAGAGCTGGAATGTTTGCCATGGTATTTCCGGAGGCTTCATAAACACACAGAAAGAACAGGGACTTCAGGAAGATATTTTTTTTTGTATTTTCCCCCTTTTTTTTTTTTTTTTCTTTCCGGCAGACTAAATGTATTACAGTATAGGTGTGTTTTTTTAGGAATCCAAAATTTTTTATCAGATCAGTCCAATTAATTTTAATAATTCCTATTATTAAATTCCTATCAAATAGTAACCAATTTCTAAAGAAAAAAGTTAAGATACATGGTGGTTTGTTTTTTTTTTTTATTGCTGCATTTCTTACTGAACGTAATTCCTGGCAACCTAAATATTAAGCCTAACTCCACTGTTTAGGTGGTCTTAATGGTTTACTTTTGGCATGTGTCACTGTGAGTGGCATTCTGTAATCTGACTTGATAGCTGTCATCTTGCAAACTGGAATAATGCAAACAAAAGATGATCACTCAAACGAGGTTACAGTGAAGAGCTATTTCCTAAGTCCTGCTGCTGCAGTGTAGAATCCCCAAGTCAAATTAGAAAAGCAGTGAATTAGTTCTGGCTCCTGGGATATGAGGGTTAAGATTATGCAAACCTGTTCTTTCTAATTGTAGGAATAGCACAGGCTCCTTTTGAGACTTTGCAAACACCAACTCAAGCTGGCATGGATTGTGAGAAGCCCTGTATTAGCCTGTAATGTCATGGATGTGGCAGGTCTTAGAGGCAAAGCAGGCTGAAGTAGACCCTGCAGTGCCTCCTGCACCCCTGGGCTGGAAGAGATGCATCTTCCTCTTCCTCCTCCCCCTCCTGCCTTTCCCCTTCCAGACAAGCTGCGCTGCTTGTTGAACAAGAGCAGAGAATGGATCCATCTTAAAAATAACCCTGCAAAAATGGGCAGGAAGGGGGAGGATGAATGGAGTATTTTTAGCCTAACTGACTGAATTCACTACACAGTGCCTTAACGCTGCCCTGACACTGCTAGGGAGGAGTGGGGAGAGGCAGTGTGAGGGAGTTGATAAGAAGTGGCCAGAGGCAGGACCTGCTTGTTTCAGCTGTTCCGCCGAAAAAATGGCCAGAGCAGCATGGCTGTGTGTTGCAGGAGCCGCTCAGTGCACGCTCAGTCGACATCTTAAAACCATATCAGTATGGCTTTGTTGCTGAGTCAGGTTCGTAATTGCACCAGAAGTTACAGAAAGGTGGCACACAGTTTGTCACCGAGATAGGAAACAGAGTGGTTTTGTTCATGGTGCTGGTGGTTGTTTTTTTTCAAATTCTCCCCCAGAAGCAGCACACCAAGGAGCAGCCTGGGCAGATCGGGGATGGGACAGGAGCCTGGGTGCAGCATGTGAACAGGACTTCCTCGCTCCTTCCTCCTCTATCCTACCAAACCTTTTGAAGCCAATCTTTAGGACTGCAGTGACTGATTGTTAAGGGTATTGCCATGGTGTAGAAGCGTAGCATCATTTACCTTATTAAAATAAGATTTCTGTTTTGTTTGAATATAACGTGTGATGTCTGGTTGCCACTAGTGCAGTTCTGGCTGACTCCTGCTGCTCTCTGCACGTTTCAGTGGACGCTGAGGAAGCAACAAAAATGTTGGACAACAGCAGAAAACGAAGGAAGATGTGCAAAACAGTGAATCGAATGGTTGGGAATGTCTTTGGGTAGGAAGAAGAAAGAATAAGGCAAAGATGTGCCAGGAATTAAGGCTGGAGGTGTGAGGAAGGGAAATCAGCCCCTAGAAACAGCTTTGCTGACAGAAATAGCAGTAAGAAAAGAGGGGTATTTTCCCTCCTTAAAGGTGGGAAGAACTGGTTAAGACGGCTGTAGTGGTCATTTTGGAAGTGCTCCCATGCTGTAAGGGTGGGTAGGTGGGGCACAGCAATCACTGTCTGAGCCGCTTCTGCTTGTGCTTCTGCTGCTTCAAATGCCTGGAGCCAGGCTGAGGCCTGCTCGGGGTCGGAGGGTGAGGTGGGGAATGCAGAGTCCATTTTTTCCCCAGAGCTTGCAGATAGAAAAATCTTGGATGCTGTGACATAGGAATTGTACCATGGTCATTGGCCAAGTCCTCTGGATGGGTGCTGTCAGTGGCTGTAGGCACTGCTCTGCAGGTAGAGCAGTCGAGCTAGCGGGAACCGCATGGAGCTGAGTAGCCCCAGAGGCGCAGGGCCCGCTGTATGTGAGGAGAAACACGCTGTTAAAACAAGCTGCTTAACTGAGAAATTCAGGAGCACTGGTATTTGTCTTCTGTGCAAAAAAAGCAAGACGTGATTCAAAAACTGTCTTCTAAGTTAGGCGCTTTCTGCTTGTCTGTGCTTTTTCCAAGTGAACATGCAGAAATGGGGAGAAATACCCAAGAAATCTCATTCAGTGTAATGGAGTAAAATGCTAGTGATGTCTGAGTTTCTTCCCAATGTTGTCTCCAGTGCTTTGATAGTTAGTAAAATGCTGTAACACCATAGCAAATTTTAGGTGAAAAAGGGACACAAATGTACCTCGTAAGTTAATGGAAACAGTGTACAAGAACTCTAATTTTTTTTGGAGATGTTCCAGTGTTTTGTTTTATTCCTCAGTGGATCTCACTGGTTTGTAAGTTCTATGCCCTTGTAAGTGCAAAGAATTTTTCCAGTTAATTATGTGGTGATAATATGTATATCTGAATAGTGCTTTCCATGCCATTGGGTTTTGTCCCTTGTCACCTAGGAATTCCCAAGTCTTTATAATGAAACTTTGTTTAGGCAGGCCAAAGGGAATCAGGATGGAAACTTGTGCTCAAAAGCACCATGTTCTTAATTGCCTTTGACAGTGGGAAGACATCACTTCAGCACGGTGAAAAGCAACCAAAATAAACTATATTTTTAATGAAGGTTTTTCTATCTGGATGAATTGACCTGTATTGAATTGACAAGTATTGGTTAAATATGAAAGAACCTTATTGCAAGCACATTGTGATTTATCCTGTTTTTACTCTGTCTAAACAAAAAGCCATGTACATATATCCAGTATAGGCGAGCCTTTTAGTCTGAAGTACTTATTCTAGCAGAAGTCTTCAGAGTTTTTTTATTATTATTATTACTTCTTAATGGATTGCATTAC